CTTCCACTCCCGCCTATCCTGAGACAAGAATTATAGCCTGCAATCAGGCAAGCAGCATCGAGCATCTTGGCCCATTTATATACGCATCGCATATAATTCATTTTATGTTTGCGCTTTGGTTTACATGATTTCCATTCCCTTCTTCCGTTTACCATTCCCATATCCACTCCGTTCCCGGCACCAGTCAAGCATGTAAGTGACGTACTCCCGTTTCAGCCTGGTCAATAGCTGCCGCTTGGCCCAGACTCTGCTCACATAACACAATGGCGTCGCATTGGCGTCGGCGACGCTGACATCAGCCCTTTTAATGCTCCCTTCCCACAACATTGGCACGTCCAAATTTCAAATGTCCAATTGCAGGCAGTTGCAGCGGTATAAGCCTTGCAGTAGGGGTTTTCAGTTACCGATGAAAGTGAAACTTGAAAGGAAAGTTTGTAGTGTGCGGTACCGTACGTGGAAGAAAAAAGCATCACCGACCATAAAGTATATACGCTAGAAGATCAAGATCAGATCGAAGAGCTGAACACACTTGAATGTAAGATATTTGTCCACGAAATTATTCATTATTCACTAAATGAGCTTATCATTTTTTTCCGATGTATCCCGCCATCGATTTTGAGAACTGGTTATTTTAAGATTAATTCGAAATGTGCAAGAACAGATTATTGATGATCAAGAATATATATGCACAGCAGAGCTGCTCCTTCAATGCGTTACATTTAGAAGACACTTATTGATGCTCTCTCTTTAAACGAACCCCCTTCAATCAAGCACATCGGCCGTCACTGGGCAAAGTGTTGCCAGCTGAAAGTGAAGCTGGCTCACAAATAATACCGATTCGTGTCGTATCCTTGGCAGCTGAAAGCGAAAAAGTTTCCATCATTTTGTGTTATATAAGTTGCTGTTGGTATTATTGTTGTTGTTGTTATATTGAATGGACTCGTCTATAGCCATCCTGGGATTGTAGTTTGAGTGCCGATTTGTTACTCCTCCTCCATTTTCACTTCTCAGTCAGATCCATAAACGCAGCACGCGATGAAAAAATTGAGGAGAAGTGGTTGCGTGCTTCTCCAATGGTCAGCAGTAGTTGTTGTTGTTGCAAGCACACCCTCTAGGCGTTACTAATCTAATTTGCAGTTATTGGCGTCCAGATTAGCATTTGCCACATATGTGTGTAATGCGTATCGCGTGCTCAGCGCCGACAGACTTTATTTTGTATTGGCCAACATTTGGCACACAACGGGAGCCAGCACCAAAAACACAACCACCAACACCACCACCACCGCCCCTCTGCCCCTTAATACCCACTGCGATCTCCATTTCCACCGCCTGGCATACATTAGTCTAAGCTGTTTAAGTGCAAAACATAATGAAAATGATGTCAGTCTGATAAGATTTTCGCCGTGGGGCGTGAGTGCTATTGTGCGTATGTGTGTGTGTGTGTGCAAATCTGTGTGTGCTGGGCTCTATTCCCCATGTTATTAGAAAAGTTTCGCTTATTAAAGAAAGCGAAAGCTAAAATCTACAAACAAAAAACAATGCTTAAACATTGATACTTTTAGTTATATAATATCTGCTTTTGATAAATATTTCTTACAAATATCAAAAAAAACTTTCAATAAAGGAAAGAAAGCAACAAACAAACTAAATTAAATAATAATTTTTGCCCATAAATATTTATAAAAAATATAATAAATAAAATTAAAGAAATGAATAGAAGGCATAATGCTATACTCCCCTATACCCCTCAAAGTGTAGAATAATTTTTATGCTGGTCCGAAAAAATAAAAGAGTAGAGTATAAATGAACCAGCTAAACAGAGCAAGCAACTACCTGGAATCAAGCGACCACATCTTAGTCGTAGTACTGAGTATTTGTTGCTTGTAGTTTGCCCCACGGAAATCACGATGACAGATTTGCTAGGCTACTGGATCGTGAGGAACTATCCATTAAGTACTTTTTTATTATTATTATTTGTTATTATATGGAATAACCTTAGTAAACTAGGCATTTGTATAAGAAGGAATCGGGTTTATGTCCCAAGTTTCCATATGAGGAATATATTAACGAACACAAATGTCATTGCCATTTATAAATTAGATAAATAAATATCTTCAAGCTACAATATAGGTGCCCGTATATCTTATGCAGAGAACGAATCACGAACGATCTACTTTGTGGATCCGTCCCCATATTTCCTCAAATAAAAAAAACAAAAAATACTGTTAAAGGTGGAGCCTTGCGCCTTGGTATGTACACTCATTTGGAAGCAATATTTGGTCCCGAAAGTTGTAAATGTTTCGATAATAAACATGAAAGTCATTCAAGAATGCATTTGCCATCGTGCAGGGAAGAAGCACAACCGCTGCGTAAAATGCGCAGCAAGCGCGGCTCTTAGCGGTTTTCGATATAATTCGATCAGTGGATTTTATTAGCGTATAACAGTCTAGTTTGCCTATAGCTGGGGCCCAAGCTGTCATGTCCGCAACAGGAACATTGTCGAAGTGTCAACGCTGCAACTGGCTACTGACAACGCCTATCAAATTAAGCAAAACAAAATTGCATTAGGGCTGAAAGTACCCACAACAGACTGCACCAGTATGCATGAGTGTGGTGTGTGTGTGTGTGTGTGTGTATATGTGTGTGTGTGTGTGTGCGACCAATGTCGGCACAACCAAAATTATTCATTGCACAATGCGGTCCAGACAATTTATGCTAATCAACATCAATCGATTTGCATGCCATGCATATGACCAAAGCATAAAAGCCGGTCAGGCCAATGGTTACCTCCGCCTCCTGCCCACAGATGAAGTGGCAGCGGTTGCATATGGATTGGACAGGGGTTTTATTGCTGTTTATTGGGCGGCTGTGTGGGTTGTCCGGGCTATTGCTGGCATTTTGCAAAGTGTGTGTTCAGATGAATGTTCGAGTGCGCCAAAGTGGACAATCACTGCTATGGGTAATTGCATATAACGAAGTGGATGCTCTTTCAGTCAGGCGACTAGTTGCTGTTGTTCCTCCTGCTGCTGCTACTGCTGCTGCTGTTCCTACTGTCGATGCTGGTGCTGCCTGCGACAGCAATAATTTCAAACTGTTTAAAAAAAAGGGGGGTGAAGCACGGGCATTGGATTGCAACAACGAAGAACAGTTGCTCTACGAGAACTGTGAAGTTTCAGTATGCTTAAATGTTATAGCTAATTTGTAATATATTAAAATACATTTTTGGTCAGATTGCATAACAATTAGTATAACCGTTTGTGAGTTTGGTAATTAATTTCTTAACAACAAAAAACATACTTCGTTAAACAGTACTGTATTACAGTACTGTATAACATTTTTTTATAACAGGTTTATATAACATTATAGTTCAATTTTTCAATTATTAACAGTCAATTTCAATTATTTGATTACTTTGTTAAATTGCAAGCATACATTTTTTAGAACATCTTATATAACAGTTTCGTACAGCGTATTGCTAAACATAGCCATGTTAACTTGTTTTAACCCTATATTAAATTTCATTTAACAGTTTAGTATACAAGTTCAGTATAACAGTTTAGTATAACATCTTTGTATACCACTTTATTTCTATTAACTGAGGTTATGTTACTAACTTATTTATCTGCAGAAAACATTTTATATAACAGTCTGTGGAACAGGCTTACATTTATATAGAAATTCATTTATGGATGCTTAACTTGTGTATTTTACTGTTAAAGCCGTTTGTAAATCACATATTCATTGTAAACATATGCTCTGATTATAAGTTTCCACTACCAACAGCTTGATTGATCATTAAACTTGCCCAATTGCACCAATTATTAATACCCTCTAGATCGAGAAATGGCAGAAAGGGACTCATCATTCGAACCGGCTGTATAACAGTTGCATATAACAGTTCGTGTAGAAAACAGCATGAATATAATTAATTAATCTTGATAGGTTTGCATACGAGTCGCTGCAGCTGTCTGCATCGCATGCACACCCGCTGGGCAAAGCGGGCCAATCCACTAACTAACCCATTCACCCAATCACTAAACCACCAAACCCACCAAACAACCATTTCATATTGGCCACCACCTGTGCCAGCCAACCCGTAACAGTTTGCAGTTTATATGCGGCTCTTAGGCACACATGTTGTCATCACTGCCATCATCATACCCCCCGTCATCATCATCATCATCATCATCATCATTATCATCATCAGCCTCGTCATCGTCATCTCATGTCATTGCTGTAGCTATAGGTATGCTGGGGCATGCTCATGAATTTGGACTGTATGGCAAATGAACTTGGAACTTGGACCAGCTGCTGAATCGCACAACGAGCCACATATCCACACTCAAAACAGCTAAAACAAATTTGAAAAAAAATAAAAATAAAAAATAAAAAGCCAAAGGGAACAGTTGGCTTTAAGCTGCCGAACTTTAAATTCGCTTAATAACCTCTATATATAAAAAATATTTCTCTGACTGACTGACAGATGATCAATGTAGTTAGATAGATAGATTGACTGATATCTATTTACTGAAAATTGTATATATGTGATTCACTTGAGGCGTGTGCCACGCTTTTCGTAAGATCCACGATTCCACGCTGGAAAAAGGAAGTCAAAGTTGAGGACGTACTCCTATTATTAAAATAATAATAATTATTATTGTTATTATATGAAAAACATTCTTCAAGCTCTTGCCAAAATCGTTCGACCTCTGTGTAGAGTAAAAAACTGGTCATAGAAATGTGCAAATTTACTCGATTTTCGCTGTGTGTGAACAGTTTTGGAAATTTGATTTTGCGCTGGAAAGGGAAAGGCAAAAGGATTGGGGAACTGGGCTTAGGCTGGGCAATTTTGTAATTGTTTAGCATTCGATGCTGGGGGCACAGTCGTAATATTTGCCTGGACATTTTGGTAGCCTTTCGGTCAAGCAGGCGTAGAGCTGACTGATTCGAGCAGAGGCAACTCAGAAAGCCATGAGCTTAAATCAGAAACGAAATCGAAATCAGTTCAAGCAGAGGTCGATTTTCTATTTGTATAGCTCGAAATTGTTCTTTTCAAAATTGTAGGAGTTGTGCGCCACCAAACAAAGAGCACACAAGCAACAAACATAATTGATAATATAAGAGATTATATTAGCATATTTATATATAAAATATATTTATATATTTATATATATATATACAAAATATATATATATATATATAATACATAATCCAAATCTCAGTGGATACGCAAAAAGCGAAGGAACGGAAGGAGTAAGAAACATTTGCGCACTTCAGGATTATGTTGCTTAAGGATCAGCCATCGTTTAAGGAAGTGGCCAAGGTATTCATAGTTGGTGAGTGTAGCCCTGAATTTCTATTTAAATCGAATCCCAGCTCAATTGTCATCCATTCACAGGCCTGGCACTGCGCTCCTATGTAGCCGATGGCGATGGACAGCAACGTCGGACGTGCTTTGGGCACGAGCTGTCGCGTCGCATTTGCATGGCCGCCAATCGGCAGCGGGTCAACAATCGCCATCGCCTCCTCAAGTTCATGTCCCCGGAGCGTCTCAAGGATTATGATATGAGGAATAAGCAACGTGCCATACAGCAGCAGAGGGAGCTTAGCCACAGGGCTCAGGAGTTTGCGGCCAATACAAATCTGAATTCCAAGTTATAAACGAGATACCCAAACAAAAACCCATACTCCAAGTTTTTCCATCATTACGGTAGTGAGCGGAGGGGCGGGTTATCAGTTATCAAGGGCTCGGGGCATTGCAATTAAGTAAATCATACTATGGAGTTGTAAATTGCAACATCCTCAAGCTGCAAGCTGGGGATCTGCCCAAGCAAATCTTCCTCCTGCTCGCCTCATGGAACACAGCCGACGCAGCCAGTGTTGGCACTTTGACTTTTTGCTTGTGGTATCTAGCTATTTATACTGATTGTGAGAAAATCGTTAAAAAAAAGAAAAGTATTTTGCTTTTATACATTGGTCTGAAAAGGCAATAAATGAATTATGTCAGTTGTAAGATTGCAAACCTGTTCGGTTCACGGCTTGCGTCAATGCCTGACCTTAAGGTTCGGGTTCGGTTCGGGCTAAAGTTTATTAATCGTTCGTCCGTATAATAATTTCTTCTGAAACTTTACATCTGGAGACTCCCAATAAGATAACTATACAACATGCTTTCATAGCAAGAATCGATCGAAAATTAAGTTCATATGAAAAACTTCTCTTTTGTAGACAACCTCAGCATATTCAAGCTTTACTGTGTTTATATCTGTAAGGGCATTTAATCTTCGGCGTGCCGAATGTAACCTCTTTCTTCCTTGTTGACAATCCACTGTCTGCCCAGTATTTGTATTTTACTCTCTTCGCTCCCATTTAGTCAGCAATTGTACTAGTACAATTAGCAAAGGCAAAACTAACTAGCAGCAATTCAGGAAAAATGGTTTCAAAATTTCAGAATCTTCATCCCCAAATCGCTTTTCCAATCAATCGAATCTCAGACTATTAGAAAAAAATATTTTAATGTTTTCCATTTTACAATTTTAACCTAAAATAATTGCTTCACGTGCTCTGTGCAAGCAATGGGCTCCACATTTCCATTCTTGGATGAGGACGCCGTTTTCCTTGATACGGAAGAGCTCAGAATTATTACATCAGCCAGACCTCTCAACTGCCTTCCATCACGTGTTTTAAGCATCTGAAAGTTGTCTGAAAGAAACTAAAATTAAAAAGGTATCTAAAAAGAATTGATCAGAAAATCTGATCGGGCAACTTACATAAATAAATATAACTTAAAGGCAAAAACTACCAGTTTTAAAATAAATATTCTACTCAATTAGCATTTTTTCATTTCTTCACGCGTTTCTCAAAAACTTGAAGTGCACTCTCGACCACGATGCGAGTTGTACTGAGGATTTGTGCTTTGTAGTTACCCCTGGAAATCTAGGTGACCGCTTTGAAGCTGCTCAGGTTACTAGATTGAGTACAATTATTGAATGATTATACGTCCAAAATATACCCTTTAAGTTTTGCTGGCTGCGAGCTTAATAAAGAGGGGTTAAAAGAGGGGGGCATCCCAAACTTGAATAAACAAATGTCGTATATGCTATATTAGCTAGTGATTAGATCTAAGTCTTTTACGCAGAATAAGTCACATGAGAATGACATCCAGCAATAAATATTATGCATTCACAATTTTACATGCCTCTGAAAACAGAGTATCTACTAGTCGATCAGTCTGGCCCTAGTTGAACGCTGTGTTAATGTTTTGCTGTAAAGTAGAGTAGCAGATATTGAAACGAATATCTAATGTTATGCTTGGTAGGTGAGTTGCTTGAGGATCAGCACTGTGAAGCCAACATAAGCTGCTTTTTAGCTAATTTCTCGCTAAAACTAGCTACTTTGCCCGTCACATGCAGCGCACACACATACACACACACACGCTCGCACACAAAACTTGAGCTGGAGCTAAGGCTGAAGCTGAAGCTGAAGCTGGGACAACTTTCGGCAATGAACCTCAATGTGCTGCAGGGCAGCCCAAACGCTGGCCTAACACATCCTGCCAGGATATGCACAGCAGTGGCCAGAGTTGCATGTGCGAAGGAGGTGCAGGTGGAGGGTAGACTCGCTGTGGCATGCATGAGCATTTGTAAAGCTTCTGTTGCTGCATTGTTCCTGCTTAATTGTCTGCAAGGACAACTGGCAGGCAGTTAGGCAGGCAGGGCTACGACAGCAGTTGCATAATTTTTGCAATTGTCGCAAGCCATAACTTGGTTGCAGGCAGCGGGCTGGCGGGCAACCAACTTGCAACTTCAACAAGCGCACACACACACACCTGCCAGGTGAGGCAACTGTATGCACCTGGGCATCCTGTGCGCCGCCCGCCTCGGGCCGGGACACTGCCACAACGCAACAACATCATTTTGTGCATTGCACTGCCAGCTGGCAACTTGGGCGAAACTTTTTGAGTGTAAATAATTGTCGGGGCACCGGCTAAAAGAAATACAACCGCAAAAATGTTGCAGCAGCCCTACAGGCAATTCCTTTGTTTCTGCTGCTGCTGCTAGAAGGTGTTTGCCTTTTTAGGTGCTCAGCATTTATGGATATTTATATGAATATTGCCGTCCACCCCAACGCCCACTGGCGCCCACCCCAACGCCCACTGGCGCCCACCCCAACAATTAGTCGCGCCGAGGATAAACGTCTGGCGTCGGGCTTGTCGGAGCTCTCATCTGGCCATCTGTCACCATCTGACAGCAAAGTTGCCGGAAAATTGTCCCTCTGCCTGTCTATTTGGAGCTTCACATAGCTGAATCACGAGTACACACACATGTGCACACATACACACGCACACATCACACACAAGTGCATTATTTGAATGGAGCATCTAAAACTTTTAAATGCCCAAAAAGTATTCAAAAGTGCTCTCGACTGCATGCTTGGACATTTGACAACACTGGCTGCAACTCTAACAGGCATTGCGCCCATCACTATTTGAGAGCGTAACTTATTTTATCATGATTTTAATTGCTTTTATTATTTATATTGCAATTATATTTAAGGCATTACTGAATCAACGAAGGGCTAAGCTAAGAGTGACTTATTTCAGAATGGACTTTGTTCTGACTGACTGACTTGACCAACTCTAGAAAAATCTACACTGCAGGTAGGGCAAAGTGGAAGTCAATTTTTGCAGAAAAGACAGATAAGTACTTCGAACAAACCCTGCAGAAATTGATTTATTTTTTTTTTCATCTCATGGGCTTAGCCCGAAAGGAATTAAACTTTGGTGTCATATGTAGAGATTGTTAGTCTAATACCTTCTAGTCAGGTTCTTCCAGATCTTATCTCTTATCATCAACATTATAATTATAACTTTTCTATGTTTTATTATTTTATTATTTACTATGCTTATTATTAATATTAATATAAATTTTATTATTCTTATTTTGATTACTCACGCTCTTCAAACCAAATTTTAAGCGAGCAATCGCAGGATACCTGGCATTAAGTGTCAGACGTTTGGGTTACGTGTTCTGTATTCTGGCTGACGGCTGAGAACTGAGAAACATTTCGCATAGTTCGGATCGTTATATTTTTATTGTTTTTATTGAAAAAAAAAAAAATGGCAGACATCATTACCCTTTTACAACGTTCTACTCTCAACCCGGGTGCCCAAGTCTTTCAGCCCCGTGGCGGGGACACTTTGGAAGGTGAGTGCAAGATGTTGCAGCAGCAGCAGCAGCAGCATCAGCAGCAGGAGCAAAAGCCGCCGCACTACATTGTGCACAATAACAACAATTGGCAGCAAGTCGGCCTAGAGTCACAGCCGCAGCAGCCGCAACTGCAACAGCAACAGAAGCAACTGCACTACGTTGTGCATGGCAATAACAATTGGCAGCAAATCGGCCAAGATCAACAGCAACTTATATTGCAGCAACAGCAGCAGCACCAAAAACAACTGCAGTACGTTGTGCATGTCAATAACAATTGGCAGCAAGTCGGGCAGAAGCATTCGCAGCCGCTACTGCACCAACAGCAGCAGCAGGTAGTCCAAATGCAGCAGCCACAGCAAGAACAGCTACATTACGTTGTGCATGGCAACAGCAATTGGCAGCAGATCGTTACAGAGCAGCAGCAGCAGCAACAATATCAGCTGCAGCAGCAGCAACAGCAGGTTCAGTATGTTATGCATGGCCCCAGCAATTGGCAGCAGATCGTTCAGGAGCAGCAACAGCAACTGCAGCAACAACAGCCGCAGCAGATCCAGTATGTTGCACAAGCTAACAATTGGCAGCAGCTCGTTCAGGAACAGCAGCAGCAAATACAGCAACAGCAACAGCAGCAGCAGCAACTGCAGCCGCCAGTCCAATACATTGTGCATGGCAATAACAATTGGCAGCAACTCGTCCAGGAGCAGCAGGCAGAGCAGCCAATTCAGTATGATGTACATGGTAACAATAATTGGCAACAACTGGCCCACGAGCAGCAGCAGCAGATATTGCTACAACAGCAGTTGCAGCTACAGCAACAGCAACAGCAACAGCAACAGCAGCAGCAACAGCAACAGCAACAGCAACGACAACAGCAGCAGCCACTTCAGTACGTTGTGAACGGCGGCAGCAACTGGCAGCAGATCGTTCAGCAGCAGCAACAGCAGATTCAGCAACAACAGCAGGAGCATCAGCAGCAGCAGCAGCCGCAGCATCCGCAGCAGCAGCAGCCGCAGTATGTTGTGTCCATCAACAGCAACTGGCAGCAAGTCGTCCAAGAACAGGAACAGCAAATATACCAGCAACAATTACTGCAACAGCAGCAGCAGCAGCCGCCACTACAGTACGTTATGCGTGGCAATTGGCAGCAAATCTGCGAGGAGCAGCAACAGCAGCTGCAACAGGAGGAGCTGCAAATAGAGCTGCATCAAGGGCAGCAACACGAGCAGCCGCAGTCACCGCAGGAGCAGCTTCAGCAGCAAGAGCAGCATCCAGATCAACAGCAAGAGCAGCAGGAGGAGCAGCAGGAGGAGCAGAAGCAGCAGCCGGTTATGTGGATACCAATTACCCAGGCAGTGCCGTCGGGCAATTCACCCTACGTGCTTATCCAGCCCTTGCCATATTATCAGCAACAGCCGCCGCCGCCGCCGCTGCCGCACCCAGAGCTAAGTCATGATCAGCCCGCCGGCAGCAGCCCCGATAGCGACTACTATCAGCATCAGCAACAGCAGCAGCCATTTCAGGCACAGCAGCAGCAGCAGCAGCAGCGGACATTTCAGACAGTAGGTTATCAGCAAGCGGCTGTCCAGCCGCTCACCACATATCAGCAGCATAAGGAGGAGCATCAGCAGCAGCTATCCGATGATTTCTCACGTTACCAGCAGCCCAAGCAGGCGATGACAGCTGACGTCCAGCTGAACTATTATGCCCAGCAGGCGGGAAAGAGCTATCGGCTGCCAGTCAAGCCGCTGACCTATAAGACAAAGCAACCGAAGCAGCCAAAACGCATCATGTACGCCGCCCGACGTGGCCAGCAGCAGCAGCAATTGGCGCAGCACTTTGAGCAACAGCAGCAACTCCAGCAGCATCACCAGCAGCAGCAGCAGGTACCGCTGGGACAGCAATATCAGCCAATCAATTCGTATTCGTGTTCGAAGTCATATCTGAACGCCTATCCCAATACCATATTCTATACCAATCCGATACGCATTAACGGATGCCGGGCACCAGCTCCGACAGCCGCCGCTTTGATCCAGTGGAACGAGAACATTTTGGGCGCTCTCCTCAGCCTGATGGTGGAGCAGGGTGAGCCGCTAACATTTGCATTCATCCTGACCCAGCTGTCCGTGCGCCTCGGCTGCCCGGAGGAGATAGTCAAGCGTCTGGCTCCCAACGCCATGTATGAGGCATCCAACAAGGGCTACGTGCGCCGCATCAATGGCTGCTATGTCCTGGGCGTGGATCCAGCCATTGTTCAACAGCACTTGCTGCAGTAGCAGCAGCCGCAAACGCAAATTGTTTGAGTTAATAGTTTCTGTGAAGCCGGAAGACCCTCAAGAGTACGCCACACAAAGAGCACACCTGACTTTGCAGTGATACGGGCAAGGAAAGCGTCAGGTCTTTGGCATTTATTTGTATTGATTTATAATTTATGAAATAATAAAAAAATTTCTCCAACGGGGAAATTGAGCAATGTTCCTCGTATGCTCATAGCGTGTGCTCACCCACTAAGCCTTTTGCAATAATACCCTGTAAAAATGAACTAGGGCTAGCATTAGCAATTTATTTTAGTATAGAGCATTAACTTTGAAAATGAAAAGAATTCAAGGTTCGGTTCGGTTCGTAAACCCACCTTTTAACATCTTTAACTGTGGCTGTGGCTTAAACTTATTTGTTTTGCCTATATTTAACCTGATTTTTCCAAGACATTTCCGCTGAAGACCACTTCAGACATAGAAACAGAGTATCTGCCAGTGTGCCACTCGCAGCACAGCCTTTTGGAAATGTCAAGAATGACTTCCGTGCGACGTTTATCAGCTCCTGTGACATCCATCACAACGGGCTGGCAACACCCAGCGACTCGATTGTCGAGTGCTACGATTGGATCCAGTGAAAGGAACTCGGCGGACTTTTCGTGTCGGGCATTAATTGCAAGTGAAATCACTTTGAACTTCATTAAAAAGCAACTTAATCAATTCGAATCAAAGTTTGCCAACGCACCTGCAACACAGACCCTCGCCACACGCTCTTCATCAACCCGCTCCTGCTACCCTTCCCCTTATGCCTTCCGTCGCTTAATTTTTCTGCTGAATGGCCTAAAAATTATTAATTAGCCTCGTCGCAGCCAGTTTCGCGGTGCCGTTTGCCCGCTCCTTTGCGCCCTTTGTTTGCTGCACAACTTTTCTCCTCTCCTTTTCCTCCCCCCTCCCTACCTTATCGTCGGCCTACTCCCCTGCCGTTGCGCCTGCTGGTGGCTCCCCGCTTGCCCCAAGTCAGGCAGCTCTTAAATATTTCATATTTAATTGCGCGCGTAAGCATTGCAACCCTCTAACACTGCGTACACCCAATCCCCAACACACCCTACACCGCTCCCCCTTTCAACCATGCCTTACCTGGCCATGTAGCGTTCGAATGCGAAAAGGAGGCAGAGACCGTTCAAAATTGGTAACATTAATAAAATTAGCCCTGTCGAGTGGGGCATGCCACATGCCCCATTCTATGCCCCATTCTATGCCCCATTATATGCATCATTCTATGCCTCATCCCCTGGCTCATTCCATGCCGACACCGAGTGTTGAGCAGCTATTTCATTTTTCACTTGATTTCCGACACGCCCACCGCCTTTCTGTGCAAGTAGAAAAATACCCTTTAAAATCTTATTAACTAGCGTGATCAAAGTGTGTTACTGCCTTCAAACATTGCCCGCCCGAAAATGATGCCACGCCGAATAATTGGTGGCGCCTCCAGGTGTCCAAGATGTTGGCAGATTTTCCGCCCCCTCCCCCTCTATATTTAGGTAAATCGCAAACACAAACGACTTCTTGATGAGGGTTGTCTCTGCCGCAAGTTAATGTCAAGTGCTTGACAGGAGTTAAGAGCGAGAGACTGAAGGATAGACAGAGAGAGATAGTGAAAGTGGAGGGGGATGAGAGGGAGAGGGAACAATAACCTTTGAATAGTCTGTAAGTCTATAATTATGGATGCAATTAATCTAATATTATTGCCGTCTTTTATATCAAAATATTTTCATCTTTGATTTGATTTGAGCTCCGAGCATATCCCGAGGCATACATTGTTACAAGTCCCTAAGCATCTTCTGTAAAGCCAAGAGTTTGACAAGACCATTTTCTTTAGAATTTCGAGAATGAAAATTGAGTAGAAAAGTGAGTTGATAGGTTTTAAGTTGTATTTATGTGGGTTGGCCGTTTAGATATTATGGGTTTCGACTTTGTTTCGTCCTTGCTCCAATAATAAAATGCGATTCTCCATTATCATAGCTTATTTCTGGCTATCGATTTTCTACTCAGACATGATCTGGACACAATTCTCGGAAGTTCTATGGCAAATACCAATCGTCTTCCGGGGCTAAGGAAATATTCTGGATACAAGGCGCTGAAAATCGGAAATTTCTCTTTCATTTATATTTTCACTCTGCAATTTTGAACATTTAACCAAAATAGATTACAAAAATTTAAATATGCAGCAAGTTTTATCGATATTTCAATTATTTTTCTTTTGGTATCTACACGAGACTTTCAAGACCTATGATCAGCACCAGAATTTTTGATGTCATAAAAGTATTCACATCCCAGTGTAATACACATCCATTATTCGTATTGGTTGGGTTCTGTATAGGACAGCGCAGAATTTGTGGAAGGTTGGATAATATTAGGGGGGGGATTAACTAGGCAACTTACTTCATCTGTATTGTGTTGCTCATGTTAAGTCTTTCGCATGGCAGTGGAGAAACGGGTTAGTCGTCAGGTTGCGAGCTTCAGCAATCGCCGTCTATGATTATGAGAGCTGCAAAGATTTAGATGATATAAAAAATATAAATACAAAAGACAGAAGTTACCTCTGGTAATAAAATACAAATATAAACATGAAACTAACATGAACGAAAAGAAACGCGCACTTTTTGCTTAATATTACTTAAACATGTTCCTATTTTTTTTTGGTTCCCTTTTCTTTTTTCTGTTTTCAAGTCTCTTTTTCCAAAAAGTGTAAGCTGTTTTTATTTTCGATGCTAGCCTCAGCTAGATGTGAGTGGAACTGAATATTGTTCGTGTGTAGTTTCTCCAGCAAGATGCGGATGACAGCTATCAAAATTCTCAGGCTACTCATTTCTCATTTAACTGCCTACATGCCTGCCAATTGCTTCCCTTTATATTGAGTATACACTGTACTGGGCTTGTGGGCTTAAAAAGCTAACAGAGAGCAGCTGCTGCACCTATGTTTGGCTCGCTCCCTTTCCGTTCTTTCTCTCTCTCCCTCTCCCACTCTCTCTCTCTCTCTCTCGCCCGCGTCTGCCTATCTTTGTCACAGCTTGTCAACTTCAATTTGACATTTATTTTGTTGTGCGAGTTTTAACTGTGTGCGGTTGTGCGTTGTTGTGTGTGTGTTGGTGTGTGCTTGTGTTGCCGGGCGTGTGGGTGTGCGTAATAAGCCACATTCGTTTATTTGAAACCCGCTTCAATTGTAACACACACTCGCTGCGATTAAATAACCATTCAACCAGACGACGCCACACCTCGCCTCCCACCGACCGCGACGCCCACCCCACCCCACCACACCGCTGAGTGCAGGCCTGCACGCCTTTCGTTGTGTGTGTGGTCAGCAATTTGATGTTGCGTATGCCCGACTGCAACTGCCACACCTCTGCAGCCGCCTAACCACCCCGCCTAACCCCTCTTCACATATTGTGGCTTTCATAGCTGTTTTCATTGCGGCTGAAATCCTTTTCCGCTGAGGCATCGGAGACGCGGCTTGAATGGTAATGGGCCAGCGGCAGCGGCAGCGGACGTTGGTGGTGGAGGGATTGGCTGTTGCTGCCACAGTGCGACGCGGCCATGATTCAGAAAGGGGCGGGGGAGGCTGGCATTCGCGTTGTTGGAGCGGGGGCGTCAGCACGCACGACTCCATTGTCAAAGTTTTGTGTGTCATTATTGTGGCGGTTGTCGTGCGAGTGTGTGTGTGTGTGTGTGTGTGTGTGTGTGTGGATGTGTGTATATGTGTGCGTCTGTGCGTGCATGTGTGTGTGTTGTTGTCATTATTGTTTTTGCCGTCGTTGTTTTTGCTGTTGCGAGTTATTAAAAACTTTTGCCCCCAGTGGGCCGACCCGTTGCCGAACTACGCATCCACAATGCACCCCCCTCCCTGCCCCTGGCACCACACAACCCACCCGTCTCAGCCCGCTGCAGTTGCTTGTTTTCATTTTCATTGTGAATGTTAATTACTACAACGGCGACAACTGGCAAAGTCAGCGGCAACTCCAGCAGCAGCTCTGCGCCCGGGCCATATAGATTCCATTGAAGTATTTAGCCCCATCTAAAACTACCAAACCACCCCCTCCCCCTTCCCTAAAACACCACTCTTCTACTGTCAATTTTTTTCTCTTGTTTTCTCCCGTAGCCACATAATCAAACTTGTTTACTTTATGTGACTTTTATGTGAATTAAGTTGCATGTGGATTCGCCTTTCCCTCTCTAATTTTTATGTCCATTCTATCGCTCTCGCTCTCTCTCTCTCTCTCTCTCTCTCTCTCTCTTTCTCTTTCTCTTTCTCTTTCTCTTTCTCTCCCTCGCAATCTCATCTCTCTCTCTCTTTTTGCCTGTCACCCTTGTGTTGATGAGGTTGACTGAACTTTTTGTTGTTGCTGCTCTTAATGAGTTGTGACTCATAAGCGGCCGCCTCTGATTACTCATTAGTGTAAACACCTTTCTATGCGATTTTCAACAAATGATATCCATTTAAATTGATGGTTATTATAATGGAGTCTTATAGCTTCCATGCACATCACTAGTATCGAACATACGGAAAGGTTCAGAACATCTTCATGTCACTTTAAGTTTTTACTTAATCGCCAAGTTAAATTAAATTTCAAACAAATGGCAGTATTTACATTGATTGCCAGCGAGTTAGCATGTACTATTGTATTTTTAGCTCAGGTTCCTTTTATGAAACATAGTGCCACATGTACCACATGTATAGCTTATATATGTGTGATAATGTATAATTTATACCCCAAGCAGTTCTGTATACCCAATGTCCTGTATGCTCGAAATATACCCCAATTAGGGCCAACATTTAGCCATGTATGTTCCACTATAATTGCGCTCATAATTGAATTACAGCGTACACTTATTTCCACTTACCACTTAACAGTTGCCACAGGCAATACAATCGCATGCTTGCAACTTGCTGCTTTTGTTGCATGTATGCAAAAATGTCACAGCTGTTCGTTGGTGAATCTCTTGTCATGTGGCTGTAGCTGTCGCAAGCTTCTAGTAATATTTATTTTTTCGGGGTATCTCTGTCCAGATGCCAGGTGAAGGGCGCGGATAGCACCTGGCCCCAGTTGGTGTCTCTGTCTGCGAGCTCTCAGCGTCTGCGTCAGAGCTGAGACCTGTCTGCTGTCTGCTGATTGCATCTCATTCGCAACTCGATGGTGCCCTCTGTTGTCTGCGTGCGTCATGGCATAATGCAGACTCTTCTCTCTTCTCTCCTTTTTTTTCAGTGCCGTTTACTCACCATCTCTGTCTTTAGCTCTTTCTAGCAGTATTGCTAGATTTTCCACTAGAGATGGACAGGTAAGAGAGTCGAGCTGCCGTTATAAACCTTAATATACTTTGCGCAGCGATTGTGCTTCCTCTTCCTTAAGCCCCAAACTGTGTGAAATACATTCTTTGATAACTATGGTGTTTCTAGTCCACAACTTTTGAAATTTAAATACCTCAAATATAGCACAAACATGCGCATATATACCAAAGCCCAAGGTTCTACATGAAAAAATGATATTTTTTGCCCATAACGATGGTTAAGTTTCACAATCATCGCGGCTATCGTGTCACGAGCCCACGCTCTCATCTCAAGTTCTTAAATATAAGCTAAGTCAATTTATCGCATAAGGCCAGCTGAAGTCTTAAGCTTAGCGACGTCTTCGTAGACTGTCGGAGCAGGATGCAAGTCTGCTGCTACACAGTAGCAAATCTCGCTCCCTCTCTCTCTTACTCCCCCCTCTCACTCTCCTTCTCTCTATTCTCTCTTTCCTGTTGGCATTGTCTTTGGTCCACGAGCGTCTACGGCTGCTTTCCGGGCCAAGCTGAACGCTGCGCTCACGTACGAAATAATTATAGCGCAAATACGTGTTCCGCATATGCAATTCGTATAGCTCACAAGCTCAGACATTGAACCCCCCCTCACGCTTGAAGACACCCACGCATAAACGTCTTCGGCCAGAGCTACCCCAAATACAGCCCACCAACCCCCTTGCTGCCTTGTCAAGCCCTTGGTTGCCATTTTGTTGCCATATTTATTTTCGGCAAGCCCATTTTTAGGCATATATATTTTTTGGGGATCCTTGCGAGAACTGCACCCCCACCTCTTACCAATACCCTTTTAAAAACTTGGTAAAAGTTGGTTCCGTTTTTGTTTTTCGAGTTTTTTTTTATATTTTGGGACTTGTTTTTCCCATGTCAAATACTCGTTTTTTGTGCCTCCCTCGCGCTGGCATTGTTAACCGTTTTTTCGTTGTCTAATATTGACGGCTTTTTATTTCGATATTAAGTTTACACACACCCACACAAAAACTTGTTTCGACCTTTTCCTTTGTCATGATAGAAAATCCAAACGCTTTAGGGGTTTTTCTTTGTTTTCTGTGGCATCATTTGGCTAAGTCGTTGATTACTTTAAGTTAACTTTAAGTAAGACTATCTGTGCCATCTATATTAATTTATCTTTATCTTTTTTTACGTACATAGTTTTTGAACATTTTGATAAAATAATGCAGCATTAAATTTAGGTGTTGCCCATTCTGCGGAAAATATTGCAAGCCATAAATATTTTCCTTTAAAAGTTGCGGGCTATATTTGATTTCCACCCAAAATTGTCATCAACTCATGCCATAGATGCTTTGGGGCTGAGACTTCCTCTACTGCTATTTACTTTAAGCCAAATCATTTTTTAAAAATAAATATAAATTTGTTTTTCGTGCAGCCAGTCTTGTGTAAGATTCGGTCCATGGTAGGCAATACACTGGAACTTTGGACTTTGAAGGCCTGTTCAATATACCCCAACTTCCATTATTCCTTATGCATTTGCATTTGATTGAAATGTTAAAACTCTTAAGCCTTGGACATATAATAGCATATTGCATGAGTGGGAACCATTTTCTGCATAAAATATACAAACATATACTAACGTGTTAATATGTAACTAGCTGGTATTACCCGGCTTTGCGCGTGAAACTTATTGTGCTCAAAATTTTAAATATTACCTAGTATAAGTATACGGCCGTGGAAAATTGACATCTAGCCATGAGACGAACAGTTTCGGCCCATATTAGTCTTGATTTTTCATATAGATCCTTAGAAATGACCCACCGTTGACCCCCATTTCCACCAAGGAGGAATGCACTTTCCAAAGTCAGTCGACTGACTGATAGTTATATATATGTATATATATGGAGATATCATCGATACCAAATTGGTTTTATCCCATCCACAACACTGAGTGACATTTCTTCAGAACAAAGTATGCATTTTTTAGCGTATGCAAACTTGTTGAGTTCCTTTGAGATGATAATCGCCTCTGCCAAGCTGATCATACCCTAATTTTCCATGACTTTAATTTGTGTTGGGGTAAACTTTGTTAGTCGCAACGACTAGAGGGGGGTTTCGCTAAGCAAGGGGCTGGTTCGGTTGGGGCAGCCAGTGTGCCACAGCTGTTGCATTCTGCGCCTAAAGTGTGCGTTAACTCAACCACAAAACGCACACGTTCCACACACACACACACTGAACGTGGGTATATGGTTGTGGCTAGTTGTGTGTGTGTGAGTGTGTGTGTGGGGGAGGGCAGATACGAGTTGCTAAAAATGGCTTCATGGCCGAAGCGCGCCAAAAACTGGCAAAACTTTGCGCCAAAGTCCAACATATGTTACTGTTCATGCATGTTAGCCCAGTTAGTCAGTCAGGGCGACAGCATAAGGGGCATAGGGTGTACGTGTGTGTGTGTGTGTGCAGGACTGCTTACTTAGTTTAGGCTGTGCATCAGTGCGAGCACACACACACACACATGCACAAACACGCATTCGCCCAGCTGGCTGTCAAGGCAGTGTAATTATAACAAGTTTTCAAGGCATTTTCTTCTACGTATATATTTTTTGTGTTTCGATACCCTGTATGAGTGAGTAGCTTGAATGGGTTGCATGTCAAAGACATGTTGGGTAAATTTGGTGATGTCAGACTGAACTTTTTGTTCTCTTTGCAATTTAAAAGCTAAAAACGCTCTTGTTGGGCTTATGAACTTACTTAAAAGGGTATGTGTTGGGTGTATATGCTGAACCTTGCTGTTAATACTGAAATTTAATTTATGCAGATATCTTGGTTTACTGAACTTAAGAAAATAGATTATAATTAACAAAGAGTCGGCCAGGATGAATCGGATGGAAACCGTAATTTTTCAAATGGACAAAGTTCAAGTGGAATCTGTAAGGGATAATCTAGTCTGCCCTACTGCAGCAGAACAATATGTTCTACATTAACCCTATGAAAGTACAGGGCATTGTCAAGTCGTGCTGTTATGCCTTAACTCGCCTTACAAGTCACTTGAGTTATTCTTTTCTTTTCTTTGCAGCACTCGTTGCCTAAAATAAGTTTTTGATAAGAAAGTTATGATGAGTTTTCTTCACACACACATACGCTCGTACACACACACACACACACACACACTGTCGCACAGTTGAGGCATGTGTGTGCGCAGCTGTTGATTTTGGCCAAATTAGTGCAAACACGTCTTGTTTTTCAGTTACGAACAAAACATATGCAACTAATTTGCAGCTTTTTGGCCAGAACAGAGCTTTCAGCATTCGCAGCCGGACACGCCCATTCAAGCATTGAATCGCAGCTGCCCTTCGACCTCGTCTCCTGCAATTGCCCCCGCACATCCTAAATGTTCCCACACTTTTAGCCTGACGAACTAATTTGCATTGCAAGCACAGGTTCAGGTCGGGCAAGGTAGAACTCCCGCCCGTCTGTCTGCCGACTGTCAAAAGTTTATTTATTTGACACCAACAAAAAAGTTGACACAGACACCACTGTCAGGCACACACACACACACACACACACACACACACACATGCACACAGCCGGTGGGCGACGGGGCGTGGCTTGTCACAATGAAATCCGTTTATATGCCTGCCCAAAATTGGATTACAATTGAGTTGTAATTATGCGACAACAAAATGTGGTTGCTGTCAGTGTTTGTGTGATGAGTGGAAGGTTGGCGGGTGGAGGGGGGTGTTTGGGGTAGAGCAGTTTTGCCGTTTCCGCAGGCATTTCCATGCTTTCCGCCCCCAAACGCCCTTTCCCCATTACCGCTGCCCTTACTTTAGTCATCTGTTTTTCATGTTGTTGCGTCTAGCAACATCTTTTGAAATTCGCATTTTGCATTAATTAAAACTGATTTAATTAAAGCGCCGTCGTGTCGCTTTTAAGTCATTTCTGTTTCGAAAAAGGAGCACAGCTTAGATGGAATCCAGACTCTAGTACACGCCCACCACTTGCCACCTTGCCACACGGCCTACCTCAGTTGAGATACAAAGTGCTCTCGACCTGCTTGCCAAAATTTCTTTCGAGCGACCCCTTAAAAAGGTGAAAGTTTAATTAAATATGCATCAAGTGTGTGCACTTTGATTAAGGACAAACTCGTGACAGCCTATGGAAAAAGCAAAGTCGCAAATACTTTGGCTACAGTAAATACTCGAATGCTGGCATTTTCTCAAATCAAATCAAAGTTTTGCTTGGCTTGTTGCTCAGTATTTTTTACTCAACATATTTAGGCTCTTAGAGAAAAGGGTGCACTGTGGCCAACTAAATTCTTCTAATTACTTCTAATAGCACAAGAATTACAAAAAATCGAACACTTTGTTTATAAGAATATTTATATTTTATTAAGAATGTAAAGTTAATGCTACTGTCGAAGGTTTGAAATGCTTCATAGATTGTCAGATTGTCCGAGTGAATGACGACTTTCGCAGGAATGTGAACCTTGTAAGTCAATTATAATTCAAAATGTAATGCCAGTGTACTAGCTACTATCGCGAACAGCCGATAGCTGCCACTAGAAATTTTAACTTATGATAACTACTGCAGCAGTTTCCTGGGTAATGTTCTCGTTACATGTTACTCGTTACCTTATGTTATGTAGCTCTGGCTACCACTGCAACGAGACGTGAGAATATTAAAATTTTTATTTGGTGAATGTTTTCGTAAATTAAAGCTTTCCAAGTCAATGAATATTCAAGTTTTAAAGCTAGCGCAATCGCTTCTCGTTACTTTTGCAGCGAGAAGACGATGCAACGAAGTAGCGAATAAATGTTATGAATGGCATTGAATAAGATCTCTGAAATCAGTCATATTTTAGGTAATCCATAGCTGCCATTCGCTACTTTAGCAACGACAAGTGGTAGCTTTTTGTCATTACTCAATCTTTCCCGAATGAGAGATTTATGACTTATTTAAGCGTAAAGTGCAGCAAGCTATTCGGTAAAAAACTCGTTACTTTAGCAAAGAGAAGTAGGAACTCTTTGTCGTGACTCAATAATATTTCACCCGGGCGAGATTTGTGACGTATTTAAGCTTTAGGAGCAACAAGCTCTTCGGAAAAGCACTCGTTACACGTTACTTTTGCAACGAGAAGACGATGAATCAATGTCGATGTAAGCCGTGTTGATCAGCATAGGCCAAGAGTCAGCTGTGCTATGTTCAACATGTATTATATCCACTGAACGAGCTGTTTACAAACTGAGTAGCCGCTGGGATTTCCAGTCAGAGCTACTTGGTTTAAATAGCTGCTAAATTCTTTTTAGACTATAGATCTGAACTATCAGAATTTCAAATAATTTTAAAGTTTTTACTTTTGTTTTCTTCCCCCTCCCAAATTCCGGTACAAATAAAAAAAAAAAAAAAACCAAGCCAAAAAACCAAAAACCAAAAAAAAGCTCAAAAAACCCAAAAAAAAAATAACAAAAAAAAAAATTAAATAAAATAAAAAAAATCAAATACATAAAATTATAATAATAATAGATTGAAATCGACAATGAACCCTCCCCGGGCCAGACAGTTGAACATGCGCCAGCGTCGGCCCCAGCCAGAGCTGCATTGGGGACCCAACGAGGAGCAGCAGCACGAATACGATAGATTCATACCACCGCTTGTGGCCGCTCGCTTGCAACACGAGAATCCAGTGGATGTAGCCAGGTTTGTCCAGAATCTGAGGATTATACTGCAGCGTCAGCGCGTTCACTTCGATATGGGCGAGGGCGATGGGGTGCACGTGTGGAGCTGGCGCCTGCCGCCCCGACCCATCGATCAGGATGGCGGTGGCGATGATATACGGCCGCGTCGACGGCCCCAGCCCCAAATGTTACCGGCAGCTGCTGTCCGGCTACCCGAGGTCCGATACTAAGAAGCCCCCGACACTAGCAGCCGAGTGGTGCCGCAACTAACCCAAGCGGCACTGGACTCAATTTGTGGCAACCCTCGGAGCTCTCTCACTCACTCGATTTGTGTGCGCGCCAGTGGTGCACAGTGGCGCGTTTTGTGGATGTTACTGGCACAAAATGATCAATAGGATAAGTGGGATGAATTGGCGACTAGAATCGGGAGCTGGTGAAACACATCCATCTGGCCACTCGCCAACTCTCGCACGGTCTCGCGCTCTTTCTCTCTTGCACGCCTACACACACTAAACCATCTCACATTGTGTTTTATTATTATTATTATTATTATCCCAACCAAAACAAAAAAAAAAAAAATAAAGGAAAAAAAAAACATGTCTAGCCCCAGCCCGAATCCCCCGCCCGTACCATCAGTTGCCATCCTATTTGGTTGTCTATTTCTGGGCAACGGGCGGCGAGAGGCCATCCAACAACATCCAAAACTGGCTGGCGGGGAACGGAGCGGACGGCGGGCGCAGAACGCACGCATATAATAATTTCCTGTTCAATGAGCAATTACCGTAATAAAGATACATCTCGGCTACTCTATTATACGCATCGCATTTATAACCCTCCTTCCGCCCAACACAAGAACGGAGATTCGGGCTTTCGTCTAGCCCTAACAATGACGACGATGATGCTCATGCTCATGATGATTATAATGATGATTTTGATGACTGTGGAGTGACATCAGCTCCATTCAATTGCAACTCTCTACTCTGGGCATATTGCAATTGTTTACGCTTAGCTGGGGGCCTGACAAAAGCTCTGACACTAATTTTTTTCGTTTAGTTTTGTGGGGTTAGACCGTAATTGAGCAGCAACAAAGGGCAGCTAACTGAGCCAAATTCGGAAAGCAGGCGGTACAAAGTTATAAAGCATGTCGGGATGATAGAGAAAGTCTTTAGTCAGGCCTAGGTTGGGTCACTATGACATAGGAGAGGAGAGAGGAGTTAAGAGAGATTCCATTCGAGGAATTTTTCTTGCAATTCTTTCATTCCATTCCATTTATTGATTTTTATTACCTTCCAATATCATGACATTATATTTTGTTATAACGGAAAGTATGAATAGTCACTATTCCCAAGAAATAACGTAGTCTGATAGTTGGACTTAAGCTCTCTCAAGTCCCGGTTCTTAGAACAACTTTCCTTTGAAGAACTGGCCAGTCAACTTGCCGCTGGGGTGCTTATTGACTTCATGGCTTGATTTCAGAGCTGATTGGTATCACATGAAACCACCTAGGTCAACAAGCCTTCTTATCTTCAGGCTTCTAAAAGCCTCCGGAAAGACTGGATCTCTCTGGTTCGAGTGACCCATAGAAGCTCATCATCTATCCGCAAAGTGACGAAAAAGGTTTGCATAAATGTGAAATACAAATTATAATTATCTAAAATATAAATAAAATTCTTCCATATTTCAATCTTTTTCAGAAGGAACGCCAATCTGAATGCCGGAAGAAATCGTGACCTCAGCACTTCTGTCGTCAAAAAAGCAAGTGGTAATACCGATGACTTTAAGCATACAAAATTGCTACATCAATTATGTGAATAAGGGTTGCTGACTAAGGGATTTCTGTCGGAGGATCAAAAGGATTAGTCGGCAAGGAAAAGGAAAATTTAATGAAGTTGTGGTTTGTATCCCAGGTATGATCGATTTTTTAGATTCATAAGACATTTATAGCTTTAAGGCCATTCAAATTCTTGACGACATCTGCCTTGCTACAGTTGCCAATAAAGTTAAAGAGCCCATGAACTCGCCTGAAACAGGGAGGTAGAATCCTTTTATAGTATAGAAAATCTTGAAGTTGGCTTCCGTGACGCATTTCCGATAATTGGAAATGGAAATAAAAGTGTTGGCACAAAGAAAACTAATGTAATTATTATCGATTACTTGAGTTGAATACTTACAAGAACAATATAGACAGCGGAAGAGTGAGAGGGAGAGAGACGGTGCACGAAAAATAGAGCAAGAGATAGAGTGTGATGCTCATATGGAATGCAGCTTTAAGGTTTCGCCACAAAATAACGCGTGATGGATGGTAGCAGCTAGGGAGATGCCAGAGCCCAGAGGGAGAGAGAGAGAGAGAGAGAGAAAGCTGCCATTAGAGAGGCAGACGAGAATGGGAATACTCGACAGCTCTGCAGTTGCCATTAGCAGACAATGTCGAGCTGTCAGACAATTGAAGGCGCGTCTGCGGGTGGGAAACGGGTGAATTTGGTTGAATTGGATTGAGCCCGATGTGGATTGCGGCAGGCAGTGCCGATGCTTTTGTTTCGTTCATCAAGAGCACATTTTATTGCTTTATGAGTTTAATGAAGTGTTGCCAGCCCATTCCCATTCCAATTCCCAGCCCCATACCCAACCCCTAAGACAACCCGGGTAGCCCAACTGAGTGGCAACCCTTCGCTTCGCTTTCACTTTTCGCCTTGACAGCCAGTGGCTGCCAAAGGAGCGAGGGCGGTCTTGTGCGGCTGGCAACATATCAAACAATTCTGACAGCATCCAACTGACTATGTGAGTGACTGGCTGACTGACTGACTGACTGGTTGACTGATTGATTGACTGCCTGACTCGCAGTCTGTCTGACTTTCGTTCTATGTCTCGGTCGCATGTAATGCATAAAGAATGAAGCTTAAATAAAAGTTGGGAGATGAGAAATAGGATTAACTTGTCACACAATTGAATTTAATTTTCCATACACACACACACACACACACACACACACACACACACACACACACATACACACACACACACACACACATCCATCCGCACACACAAAGCATCTTGAAAGCTGCTCGCTTTGTGCCAACTGCCAGACAGCTACTTCAGCTGCCTGTTTTTGGGGCTCCGGATTGTTGTTGTTCCCGTTGTTGGTATGGTCTATTACTTTCACATTGGGGAATTGAGCAGTTTCATTTTTATCTCTCTCTCTCTCTCTCTCTCTCTCTCTCTCTCTCTCTCTCTCTCTCTCTCTCTAGTACCTACCTCTCTCTCGCTCTCTCTCGCTGAGCCGCTTTTGTGGTAATCTTGTGATACTGTTTTGTAATGAAATTACAAGGTTCCCAGATTTGTCAAAGCAATCAATTCTTTCATATTGGACTCTTCATTGGGTTTCTGCACTGAGATTAAGGTTCTGCTTTGCGACCTATCCGCCCCTCAACACCGCCTCTTCACACCCCTGTCTACCCCTCTGACGCTCCTGTTCATATTGTCCTGGCAAATTGTTGAAAGCAAGCTAACCTTTTTTGGTACTCACCGAAATGTTGGCAATCTGATTGATCTCCCTTTTCCGCAGGCTGCGGCAAATATTTTTGTGCCCAAAAATGTGTCACAATCATTTTTAGCTTAGCAGCTTGAGAGTGAGCCCAGCAGTCAGGTATTCCATGTTGGACTGTATAAGCACTTGGAAAATGTTTAAATCAGATATAAAAACAATAATAACGGATATCTTTGGCACGTCGAAGATTAAAATCTAATTTTTGTTTCTATGCTTTGGTATACACACATTTCTTCTATGTTATATTAAGGGCCCACCAATGTCATAGTGTGAGGTGTGAGGAAAGTAGAAGCTCAGCTGCTGCGTATTTAAATATGTGAATCATCCATCAATTAGTTGACTGCAATGCTGCAAGAAGCCTCCCAATTCAACCCCTTCCATGCCACGCCCCGTACAGCTGTTGCTGCTGTTATCGACAGGACATTGGCTATGTAGCGCGCGTGGCGTTCGGCTCTTATCCTTTGATTAGCGACAACAAAGAGCGCCAGACGTTCATTAACTGTCACACAAATATGGCAAACAATGGAGAGAGCGAGCAGGGGAGTGTGGAGTGGGAGAATGTGGGACATATGCTAGCTCTCAGCATTGGGCAAACTGTAGTTAGGTAAAGATCAACCTTAATTAAATAGTTGGGCATTCGAAGAGCTCCTTCAGCCGAAATCCTTTTCGTGGGGCAACTTTGCGTTACATTTCACATAAAAGAGTCTAATCCATTTGCCCGATACTTATGCACGCCTGCACTCGGGGGATTAATAAACTCCAGCCCCAGTCGCCGCCTCAGCATTGTCGCAACCACCGAGCGGCGCTGCGCACCACCAAAATCAATTTCAACTGTCAACTGTCAATCAGGCACCAATTCAATCACGCAACGCTCTGGGACTTTCAGTCCTCATCTCGGCCACTTTTCCGTCTTGAAGTTGCTTTCGGGGGTTGTCGGCAACGCTCTGCGGTTCGGCTTTAAAGCATTATAAATTATGAAGAAACCACTAAAAATGGGCCCATGAAATTGGAACTGACTCTGAAACCGTTTGTTCATGTCGCAAACATTTGCTCAAGAAATTTTTATGAATTACTCGCACAATCGCCACGATTCAAGCCGCCAACCCCTCGCATATTTCTGGCCTGCACAGATTTTTTTTTTTGGTTATGTATACGAGCTCGTATTACCCATTTACAACTCGGCGCTCCAGCCTATGCTTAACACGGCAACAAGCTGGTCAACGGCAAACGGGTAACAGAAAGCGAGCTCCCGTCTAAGGGTGGCAGAGTGGGGCTGAGTTTGGGGTTGGTGCTGGGGTTGGGGTTGGGGTTGGGATTGGGGCATGGGCAAGGGTAGGGGCAGGGGCAAGCTGCTGCTGCTGCTGCGAGTCACAGCTAAAATTCGCAGTCAAAACACATGTCACGTATTTTGCTCGTAATTATGGCAAACGTGAGAAATTTCGTTAAGATTTTCTTGGCACATTTGTATACTCTAACTTGGGTTATTTACAACACTTGCCTTCTTTTATATTCTGTACATAATTTTAATATTTTTTCGGTCAGATCCGGAGCTGCAACTCCATAAGAAAATTTTCCTTTGGTTCCGCTTTGGTTTCGAACTAGATCTCTGCTTTGAAGTTCGGCTCGGTTCAGTTCGATTCGTTGATTCGATTTTAAAAATTCATAAGCCCATTAAATTTTGCTTGTAATATATTCCAAATAACAGTGCATTTGCAAAAAAAAAACAAAGGCAAATATAATTAAATTAAAAACCGATTTCCACCAATTTCCCACGATATTGGGTGGAATTTAGCAAAACCACGTCTTACGCCTACCCACAGAGTTGGTTGGGTTGGAGTTGGGCTGTTGAGGGAGACTATCGGGTATATATAGAGGCCATGCTTTGTCAAATTTGATTTATTTTCGCACTTGAAAGTGTATTGAATATACTACCAGCTGTTAGCTTAATTGTTCCACTGGCGTTCGTTTGCTTTTTGCGCTCGCTTTTGGTAGGTATAATTTTTGGCATTTGCATTTTGCCTAAAGCTCAGCCTGGCCCCACCTTTGGAACCCGCAACCCGCCCACTGCTCAACCCTTCGGGCGCCCCTACGAGCTGCTTGTTAACATGTGTATCCACTTGTATACTCTTACAATTGGGAAATGGCTTTTGATAAATGGCAGCCAAGTTGTGTTGTTTCTGCAAATTGTTGCCCTGTGCAGGGGCTTAAGAATGTCTTGACCTTTGACCCTTGGCAGGGAGCATCAATCAAAGACGCGTGCGGACTTTAAGAGTGCCTTAAACTTGGCTGAAATAGATTTGTTCTAGCTAGTGAAGGGTTTCCATTGCATTTTTATTCTTTTAACAATTTGTCAAGTTATTTGATTTTATGTGTAAGTTCCTACATTAGCTGCTGTTGCTGATGTTGCCGTCATTTGTTGCACTTAACTGCTGCAACTCCTTCATCAACTTGGCTATTAGTCCCTGCACCTGGATCATAAAACTTTTCACCAGCTCGCGACGTGTTGTGCCTGTTGTTGCTGCCCTTTCTGTCGTTTGGGGCATGCCGCACGCCGCCAACACTGAAAATTTGCAAAAACAACTTTATTTTAATCCAAACTCTATGCATGTTGTCTAACACTTACGGCTGACCACTAAAATAAAAAGTGTCCATTTGTTAAACATTCTTGATGGGTTAAAATAGAACTAAGGCATTAACCAAACGGGCCTAGCGCTAAATAGGTTTAGAAGGTAGTTCCCTACGTGCTAAATAGGGTAATGCAACGCACGTAGAACTGCGATTGGACTGTTTAGTGTTGCATAACGTTGTGAGTGTGTTGTTTAGTCTGAGACGATGAACTGGGTAATCGTTAAGAACTATTCAAATAATCATAGAACTATAGGCGATTTTTTAGTGCAAGATTCAACATAATTTTCAGAGCTGCTTGGTTAATATTTCTGTCATATATGACTCAAAACGAAGAAAAAAAAAAGGTCATTCAATGAACTGGTTCATATATCACTCAGCAATTAAAAAATGAAAGATACTCAATAAATGTCATTAAAAGTTTCTATGCTTCAACTTCTTAGCTTATTAAATAAATATTTAATTGGTGAACATTATAACTTACTTAAGGAACCAATTCAAGAAACGAATAAGACAAAAAGTACCTTACCCCAATTCCTACACTTGGAATTAATAGACAGTTTTTTATTTCTCCTCTTGCTCTTGTCTAATTCTTTAGTCTTGTAAATGGGAACAGTTCAAAAAGTAATAACTCACATCATTTTGGCATGCAAATTTGTTTTAATAGACAACAAAAGGTGTACACATTTATATAGATTAAGATTTAGTTAATATTATATGTATTTGGATTAGGAATTGACGCGTTCGATCATTTTTGCTGCTTTTGACATTCAGACTCCTAGGCCCTTTCCCAATGAACTGCCCAGAGAAGAACCTAGGCCGGCACCAGCCAGGCCTCCAGTAAGGGTACCAGCGGCTCCGCCTACCGTTTGTCCAACGGAACCAAGAGTACCAGTAGCAAGGGAAGCAGGATTTCCGAGTACCTGACCTACAGGTAAACCTTGCAATTGTGGGCGTGCTAAGGTGGCGCCAAGGAAGCAGGCTGCAAGCGATTAAAGTATTGGGTTCAGTTAACTATCCTGAACTAGTTCGATTCAGTTGAGTTCACATACCGCACAACATGAGGGCCACGAGGAACGTCTTGTTGAACATGTTGTACGAGTTGTTAGTTTGAACTGTTTGCTGTGTTACCCAACTTGCCGTCTTTTATACGAAAACCTCTGGAATGCTGAGATCAGTGCGTAAGCACGTATTTCAGCATTGACAACGAGCTCGCAGAGCGTGATATTAACCCAGAACTAGCTCAGTGGCTCGCTACTTTTGCCACTGCGCCTATCTCAAGCAACTACCTACTAATTGACTTGTGTATTTTAATTTCTGATGAGCAGACACATGTTTTATACTTATAATGTCATATTGTTAACGTAGCACCCTGTACGGCTCTTCGCTTGTAATTCTGTAGTTTATTTTACGTTTTTCACGTTTAATTACATGGGTGCTTCCAGCTTTTTCATTTCGCCTTCCGTCACGTTTATTTTAAATAATTAAAATTTTAACAGTCAACACCGATAAATGCGTGTAAATTGTATTCATGAGTATTCATTGTAGAAAAATGTATACCTCGTAGCCAAGTTGATGTATGGGCTATATAAGCTAAGTATATAAGCAACACCCACTTAGCTGCAAGAACCCTAAATATATTTATATTGGATCTCAAGCAAGCGCCGAAATCAAACACGTTTAACTCATCCATCTACGCAGAATCCTTGATCTCAGAGACTATAAGAATTATCTTTAAAAAAATGTTGTGTGTTGTTTCTCTTTTTGACGCTGCATAATAAGAATCAGAATATTCGATATGATGCTGCTTACAAATGCCAAAGTGATATAATTTGTATACAATTATAAATTTTTGCATTTATTAAATTAGATTTGAAATTTAATTTCAACGAAGAGCAAGATTACAGGGTATATAGTCATTGTTTACTGGTGCTTGTATTTTGAAAGGCAATTACACCATGCTTGGCATTGTGTGTCAGCATTAAACCCAAGTAACGAATTTAATAGCTGACTTTGTTGACATCGGTTGCTCGTCGTGCTTTAAGAAAAGATTTTCCATTCGTTAGATTAAAATAATCCGTGTTTTCAAATGGCAGTTCTTGCATGCAGCAATTATCTATGTTAGCATTTCAAATGATCGCAGCAATCGCACCAGCTGCCGGCCAAGTTTACGTGCCTGCTGACCAACACCTGACCAACAACTGACCCAGTTGATAGGGCGGCCGCCCGCCCACAAAAAAAAAAAAACAACAAATAAAAATGGAACCAAATTGGTAACAAATGGTCTGCATGGCTTCCGGTGGTCAGCGCTTGGGTGTGAGCTCAACACGTGGTTGCTGTCGTGATGTTTCCGGTATCAAAGACGCCACCGGCAAAATATGGCAGCAACAACAATTGCTGCTGATGTGCGTGTGTGAGTGTGCGTGTGTGTGTTGGGCTGATTATTATCTGGCAGACATGATAAGTAAATAGTGAAGCTCACGTACAGGCCACACGTTTCCGTGCGAAGTGTGTGTTCGCATCAATATAAAAATGCATCTGATGAGCACTTGGCAAATCAGTTCAATTAACCAAATTTATAGAGCAACAGCAGCAGCAATATCAACATCAGCAGCGGCGACAACATCAGTAAACTTCCTGAGGCTAATTAAGGAACGACTAGGATGACAACAGCAGCAACAACAACAGCAAATCGCACGATGCTGCTGCCAATTTTGACATCACGTCGACATTTAATTGCGCTCGTTGTGGTAACAACATTAGGTAATTAGTGTGCCATGTGACCGGCTGTGGTTTGTGGTCGCGTCTTTTGGGCTTCTAATTGATTTTTCAACTAACTATTGACAATTTTGTCGGCTGTTGTTGTTGTCATTACATTTCAGCCTGCTGCCAAATGTGCGCGGCACAGAACTCCACGTTCGTAGCAACAATTGTCAGCTCGAACAACACGTTGCAGTCGGCAAATGAGACGCGGCTCAATGAAACGATTACAATCAATATAAGCGAAATAATTGCTGCTGCTGCTGCTGTTGAGACGACAACAGCAGCATCAACGACAACAGAAGCAACATCAACAACTGTAGCAGCAACAACTCCAAGCAGCACACCAGCAACATCAACAACGGTGGCGACAACAACGGTGGCAGCAACAACATCAAGCAGCACACCAGCAACATCAACAACGGTGGCAGCAACAACATCAAGCAGCACACCAGCAACATCAACAACTGTGGCAGCAACAACATCAAGCAGCACAGCAGCAACATCAACAACGGTGGCGGCAACAACGGTGGTCGCAACAACGGTGGCAGCAACAACATCAAGCAGCACACCAGCAACATCAACAATGGTGGCAGCAACAACATCAAGCAGCACACCAGCAACATCAACAACTGTGGCAGCAACAACATCAAGCAGCACAGCAGCAACATCAACAACGGTGGCCGCAACAACTGTGGCAGCAACAACTGTGGCAGCAACAACACCAAGCAGCACACCAGCAACATCAACACCGGTGGCAGCAACAATATCAAGCAGCACAATACCAGTAGTTAGCACAACAGCAGCAACAGTCCCAACATCAACAGCAGCAATAGCTACAACAGCTGCAGCAGTCTCAATAAGTAGCACGACATTAGCAACAACAACAGCATCGCCAGTTTTAAGCAGCTCAACTGCAGCAGTAACATTGACATCAACAACAACAACGACAACAGCCTCAACAAGCTCCACAGTGCCAACAACAGTGACAGCTACATCGACAACAACCGCAGCAAGCACAACATCTACGCCCACAACAACAGCATTGGCGACATCAACATCTACAACAACAGCAGCACCTCTTATAACCACAGTCGTTGACAGCAGCAGCATCTTGGCAATCACAACGACAACGCCAGCAACAGTTGTTAATAGTACGATAGCAACAACACCAGCAACAACAGCAACAACAACTACTGAAGTGTTAGCAACAACAAGCTTAGAGCCCTTCCCAATGGCACCCTATCCCACAGTTTTTGGTCAGCTGGCAGCCATGAACATAATCAGGAAGCTGCCCAATCAGAAGAACGGTCGAAAGGGACGCAAGGGGCGCAAGGGTCGCAGGCGTAGACGCACCACAACAACAACAACAACAACAACGACGACAACACCAACTCCACGAACAACAACGCTAGGCGACAATAATATCGACGATGATGATGCCAGCCTATTGGAAGATGCGGATCTGCTCGAGCCGCTGCCAGATTTGCCCCTGCAATTGGGCAACATCGACAACCAGCGCATTGATCAGTAGTTGTGCAAGCCGCAGCACTCAGTGAGCCTAAAGAATCTAGAATTATGAATCGTAACTATAAATATAAAAAATTGTTTTGTTTTTTATACAGCTGACATAAAAGAACAATATAATATTCACATATTTTTTCATATCTCTTTAGTGAATTCTTTTGCACTATCAGCAAAAGTTGTTAAATTCGCGAACAGCGAATAAACAAGTCATTGACAAGCTGCGAACAACAGCAACCAAAAATTAACTATAAGTAGTAAGCGTGATTGAGTCGGGTGTGCCCGACTAGCAGATACTCTGTAATCAGCGCCAAGCTACCATTACATACATTCCAGTCTTATGCCTAGATGTGTGCGATGACATCCAATCCAAATTTATTGTCTGTAACTCTTTTATCTCCGAGTTGAACTTAAAAAACTCTGCTTCAGTATCAATATTTATGGGTATTGTGGAATTGGAAGCCCGAAAGGCTTCATACAATTATAATAAAGCAACTTAGGTTATATTATTTACTTGCAGCTCTGACCTGCACCAAAGGTATCATGATGGAGTATAATAAGCTATTAGGATTAAGATGGCCAATCCATCTGGTTTAAAGATGCCATACATATATATATATATATATAAAACCAAGGACAGAAAAAAAACATATTATTACTAAATTTTCCAACTACCGAAATTCAACTGCCAGATGATAACATGAAGCTATTGCTTTTGCATCGCAGGCTCTTTAACAGGACAATCTCATAGTGTTTGCCTATATTTCTATATACCATATATATGTATATTCTACCTCCTTATTTTAAATACACATATATTTATATATATGAAAATACTTAAAAATCATTATAGAAACTCTTTTTAAGCTACTCAATTAAACAAAGCTCAAAAACCTTTTTTCTATATTGAAGTTATGTCAATTTCATTCGATCCAAACTTGTTTAAAAGTGTTCGTGATTTACAAGCAAAAATGCTCAATTTGTTGTGCACATTCGATATGCAGTGTTATGTTTAGGCAAAAACAACATGGCTGGCAATAACAAGATCTTACACACACACACACACACACACACACACACACAACTCACACTGGCAAACAACCGGTTGGCGTGCAATTAATTTAACAAATTGTTTGCTCAGCACAAATAGCCATACAAAACAAGCCAACAACAAATATTTATATATTTACTATATACCAAGCACCAAACACATACACACACTTATTCACACATTTATTCACACACACACGCACACACGTGAGGCTGCCACATGTGGCGCATATATTTGCTCGAAGTTCGAATTGCAGGCAGCAGCTGGCGCACGTTTGCCCCGCCCTCTACGCCCGGCGCACTAAATAAATACAATTTAACTTCCACTTTCAACACATCAGCAGCTGCCCCTGCCCCAACCCAGCCTGCTCCTATGCCGCACTCCTCGCTCCGCCCTTCTAGCCCTGCTGACAAGGGCCAGCAGCCAAGTCAATTAGCGAAGCCGCTGTCCAGTTTGCCAACACCCCCGCGACCTACCCAATGCCTACTGCCAACGCATTCAATTAAAGTTGCGCCCTTGCAACCAATTCTCATCCCACGCCCCGTCATGTTGTTTTCCTAGCCAAAAATTATTGCAGGAGACACAAAGAATATATTTTGATTCAAAGACTAATCAAAGCTGACAGCCAAATGTGTGGAGGGTGGTTGCCGCACCACAGTGCATTGAACTGTGTGGCAAGCGTAGAAGGAGAGCAAGGTGCGTGTGTGGTCAGGAGGGGGAGGGCGGGAGGGTATTGGGCTTAACTTATCAATAAGCCGAGTGCGCACATGCCAAGAGCCAAGTGTGATTGGACGCTGTCAGCGAAGACAGACAACAAATGCACACGTGCTTATCAGCTGGAGAGCAGCACGTGCTCCGCCAGCTCTGGTCGCGACTCTCTGGTCAAGCATTTTGACATTTTGGCTTAAAAGCAACTGGCGGGACAGCGGCATAGGCACAGAAACCATTGGCAGTTACCACAAGCAACAACATGGCAAGCATATTGAGGCAACAATTGGCGCTGCTGCTGATCGCCGTGATGGGTAAGTGGTTATTTCAGTGATAGTTATACCAGTGTGGTGCTCAAACTCTCATTGGCAGCCCTGCAGCTGTCACACGCCTGGCTGCTGAAGCTGCCCAAACTGGAGGAGCTGACGGAGAAACTGGATGAGAAGGAGCACAAGGAGGCGCTAAAGAAACTCGATTTCCTCAATCTGTTCGCCGCCAAAGAAGAGAAAAAGGAGAACGAGTGGGAGAAAATCAAGCAGTGGTTCGAAGACAAGAAGCTCAAGGAGCTCAGCCTATTCGAATCGAAAAAAGAAAAGGAACTGGAGAAACTGGAAGATAAACTGCATAAGAAGAGTGGCAAGAAGGGCAAGAAGCTTAAGTTAACGACAACCACCGAATGCTACAACCAACACGAGTACACCACGAGGACCAGCTATGTGCCAGAATCCGAGGAGCATTACCAGGAAGAGGAGGAGCAAGAGGAGGAGGAGGAGGTGTTGGTGCAGTTGCCCAAAAAGCTAAAGGGCAAGAAACCCCCCTGCAACTGCCAGCCAAATACTGGCTACGGCCATGCACCCACTGCGTACGATGTGCGCGAGGACTTTGAGGAGGGGGTACGCTACTTTACATAGATTGGATGGCGTGGAGAGTGGGGCTGTGCATGGAGAATGGGCCTCGTATGTTGCATAATTACATATACTTTCTATTTTTTTAATAAATTTTATGAAAATACTTACGTGTGTGTGGAGAGAGGAGCATACTATTTGATATTTGTCTTGTCGCCTGCATAGCATTTGCATATAAATTGAATTCCCAGGTTTTGTTGAACCAGCTCGCCTTGCCCCTCCTCCCCTTGGGTAGACAGCCAATATTTTACACATTTTATGTCAGCAAGCGCGCTCGGCGCCCCGTCCCCCACCCACAGTCCGCAGTCAAGCCTGATCCATCACAGAACACCGACATCCACGTTCTCACCCACAGCCCACTTCCATACCCAATCCAGGAGAATCATCTGCATCGGTTCTGTCAGTGCGTCGCTTCATCAAAGTTGTCAGCGGCGGCAATGACACATTGTGCCCATTATTTGCATAAAGTACCCATGCCCCTGGCCCAGGCTCGGCCCTGTCGCTGTCCCTGGCCCTGCCCCTTACCTTGCCCTGTGGCACCAAACCGTCTTGCAGTGCCGCAAAGTGGTTTATCCTGTCGTAAAGGGCAGATAACGACAAAAAATACTCGCATCATATGAGCTGTCAAAAGGATATGGGGAATGAGTAGCGACTCAGGAATGCACTTTTTACTGTCAGGTGGCAACCCTACAGCTGTCATCGAATGCTCTGTTATAGATAAGTGTTCACAATAAGGTGGGGGTTCGAGCCTTAATTACGATAATATTCAAATATATTGCTTTAAGAGCACATTTTTTGAGCTTAACAAACAACCAAGGATTGGTTCAGTTGACGGTTCAGCCCAACCAATTCGGTTCATGGCTCGATTTATGGTTATTGAAACTGGTTTGGTTTAAACCGTTTGGGATCCAGCTCTTATTATAAATAACATGATCTCTAGTTTATATAATGGTGTTTACCTTAGATAGGAGAATGTTTTCCACGGCAATTTCAAATAGAATTTCCTTCATAAGGAATAAAGGACCTGAGCTTATGCTCTGTCGCAAGCCCCTGTAAAATTTAAATATCCAAACTGTGTCACTTTTTTTACGCTTCTTGTCTTAGACTGTTTTCAACAGGCAGTTGAAAGCATATTTGTATTAGACCCAAGAAATGGTATTATACACAATTTAAGTTCATTTTCCACTTAAAAACATTATGTAAGTAGACTTTTCTTCAAATATATTCATAGCAATGCTACGTCGTTAGCAAAACGTTTAAGAATGTGTGGCACAAGGAGAACATGTAAATTGAATGTGCTCCCACGAGTGCGAGGGAGGGAGAGAGAGAGAGCGCAACGAGGCATAGGCAGAAATTGGTTTCTCACTTCTCGTTCTGTCGATAAAAAAACCTAAAGAATATTATTAATTTATTGCAACAAATAAAAATATACTTAAATTTCTTCAATCCATAAGAAGCAATATTTTATAGCTCAGTCTGTGCAATAAGCGTGCCCAATTTAATGGCTCAGCTGGAAAATCAATAAGGTCCATTATGTGTTTTTATAGCCCACAATTAAAGAACAGTTGCACGACCAGCGGAGGGGGCTAAGGCCTGGGGCTTATTTTCTCTCATTGTAACTAGATCAGCTGCAATGACCCAAGAGCGCCGCAGTTTCTGGATTCGCCCCAAGCGGCTGTTTGCAGTCCCCAACACAATCAGAATTTTTCACCAAACTATGATTATTTTCCAATTGTGTTGTCTTCTGGGGGTGGCATGTAGTGGGCTGTGTGAAGAGGGGGAGCGGTGGGTTTCGCAAGCGAAGGGAGGGGTAGTTCGTCATTCCAATACAACTGCCCCACCAAACTTTGGACAAACTTTGAAGCCCCCAGACACCGGACAGCGGAAGCCGACAAGCAAATGCACAACAGACACAGTCTATGAGTCGAAAAATACGTATATGAACTGGTCACAGCTGCTCGACTTATGGTTATCCTGTAAAAGTGGATAGTGTGGCCTTTTTATCCGTAAAATCTTTAATTCACATATTTTCCGGGTATATGTTATTCTATTAAGTGTTCGATATACTTTTGCTTGGTTTCCGAAAAAGTCCCTGCCTTGCCTTAATTTCAGCTTAATTATTTACAGGGTATTACTTATAAAATGTACAGCATACTGCAATAAGCCAAAGGTTCAATCAAATTTGTATCCTCCTTTTATGTACATAAATCTGTACCAGTTGCTTGCTGTTATATTTTGTCAGCTAGCATAGCATACCCAGCTTTCATGCTCTTTACAGGGAAAGGCACTTGCCCTGCCACAGAAGTTGCTCCAACTCTTGTGCAGCTTTTCGATAGCCCAATTTCTTTCATTGCTTAGCCGTAGTTTTTTT